TTGTAAATATAATAGAGGCTCATAGAATGAGAAGTCGGGAATTGCACACAAGCCCGGAAAACATCTTCGTAAAAGATTCCATTCGCTGGTTGACTGTTCGAACCGAATAAGCAACTTGATCGGAAGATGATGGCACATTATGTGAAGACGAGGAATTACTGATGTGTGTTTAAGAAATGAAGCCTGATATAAACGAAATTAAGGCTGGTCGTCTCTTGACGGAGCCTTGGTGCCCGCCAGATGTCATTAAGTCATCAAGATGTGCCCGGCATAATTGGAAAAAAATCGAGTCCCCGTACTGGGCCCGTCCACTCTGAGGAGCTGCGGTAAATAAAGCGAGTCAAGTCATTACGCTCGCTGAAGCGAGACCGAGCCGCCTGGGAATACAGGGCCCGGAACGATTTCACCGACGCGGTACAGTGCAAGAAGAGCCTTCACGGTCTGTGTGTGTGTACACCCTTTCCGAGACCTGGCCGCACGGAGTTCCTGACGTGACCCGTATCATCATCACACAAGAGCTCGGCGATATCTGCTCAAGCGAGAGGCGCAAAAAAACAACCACTAAAAAGACACTTCAGATGGGTTTATTCAGTCAATTAGGAGGTCGGATGGCGATGAGGAAATTCCATTCTTGCACGATTACCATGGTTTGACATCGACCAAGGAAATCGTTCACTCAGCCAGACGAAACGCACACATGCTGATGTATTTTTTGCGATGTGTTTGTTGCAACTGATTGCTATTTAGCAAAGTAAATAACAACAATATGAACAACAGCAGTTGCTAAGGTCTGTTACTTGTTGGCTTGATTTAGTAGAAAAGAATGTAGTCAAAGGAATAAAAATGTACACTGAGAATTAAAAATGCAAACGTATATAGACCAAGTGAAAGTCTTGATAATTTATCTGTTATCTGATAATGCTCTTCAACCTTGCTTGTCCATGAAACCTTGCTCCCATTCGCTTTTGATGCATGAGCTAAATTAACATAAAAGATAGTTTACTGATTTGAGATATTGAGATTTAACGAATCACACCAGTCTAACAGAAAATGCTTCCCGTGTTTTATCCGTCGTTAACACCACAGCACGAGGCTACGGCACGATGTACCATGGGTTTCACTAATGCACGTGTGCTTTAACACACAGACCCGTGCAAGCACACGAAGGCGTGGGGGTCATCACTCCATCAGTCGGAAAGCTAAGCCGTCTTGATTATAGTTCACCCCTCCCTCCTAGCGGTGAACTTTAACTTGGCTGAGAAACGAACCGTCATTACCCTGAATATGAACACAGGAAGGTGCATCATTAACGCCAAGTCATTATGATATGATAATGCTTGCCGAAAATAGATCGTTAGCATAAGGTCATTAAGATGTAAACACTGTGCTCCGAAAACAGCAAAAGATAAAGCAACACTTGGGCACATCCTAAGGGTGGATAGAAAAAATTGACGGGGGGGGGGATAGCCGTGAACAGGGTTAACAAGGTTTTCCTTGTTTTTCCAACATATTTTGGCTTCGCTGCCCATACGCACGAGTGAATCTATAATTATAGGCCTAGGCCTACGTGTATTCTGTTCTTGTTTGTTTTCCTTAAGAAAGGGGCGTGGCATGTGAGACCGGTGTTATCTTAAACTTCAGCCGTTCTCACTTTCCTCCTTGATTCAACGCTTGATTCATCAGCCTGCATTGCCTAAGAATTTTCTTCCACGGAAGACGCGCCCACACATCACGTCAAGATGAACAGTCACTTAGCCGTGGCGCGAGTCCGAAGGCCTCTGAAACATAAAACCGTTCACGAAATTGAATCGCTGTCTCCATTTTAAAAAGCATCTTATGCGCCCGTTTTTACTTCACCAGTATTGTAAAAAATCTTAAAAAAGGTAAGTAGGAGCATTTTTTCGTAGGCCTGCATTAACACTCCGCCTTCATAATGCTGTCTATAAAGGCCTCTTCGGTGTTGACAAGGGAAATTTAAAGGAACCTGGAAATGAATTTTTCAGAGAATTACCTTTTGTGTATCTCTGTACTCTTCTTCCATGTATGAAGACTATTTGAATTTTTTTGTAGTTACGTGCACTGAACGGTGCACTTTTTCAAACGTGAAAAATTGACCAAGCATTTCTGGACAAGTGAGGGCGCTTTTGCTTTGATGTAAATCCAGGAAGACATGGTTCGGGTTGTATGTTTTCATGATTAAATTGTGAATCCAAAATTTGCTATCTGGGAACATTTCTGTGAAAAGGATGTTTGCTGGATTATTGCCATATACTTACCCACCAATAAATTGCCCAAGAAAATAAATCTGCCATAGGAGTGGCCAAAAAAATCTAAAAATTTTTTGTGCACAAATCAGTGTAACATTGAGATTCAGTGCCTTGGATGACATCATAGCTCTGCTCATGAATATGCAAATTCATTAGCATAAAACAAAAAATCAAAATATGGGTTAAAATTGCAATACAAAAAACCAAAATAAGGTTAATTGAAACCAAAAGATGTAATTTCAAGAGTTTTTAGTAAAATTTATAAAAAATATTTTTATTTCTTGGTTCCTTTAAGTAACAAAAATATGTTCGTGACTCCTGAAATTCTACTGATGAGAGTGGTCTACATAAGTGTAAGCGAGGGAACTTAACACTGATTTATTATCGTTCTACACTTCCTTTGTGGATGTAACTGTCCCTTTCCACAAACCGTCTTCATATCTGTGTGTAGCGCTTGTAGCAGGGAACGTATCCATACGTAACGAAAACCTGTAGAATATTTTTTTGTTTTGTTTTTTTGTTTTTTTTTTACTGTTCATAAGACCTGATGCCAGGCCTGTTGCCAGGCCTGATGCCAGGCCTGATGCCCGGCCTGATGTCAGGCCTGATGCCAGGGCTGATGCCAGGAAAGCGGCTGCTCAATATCAGCTTCAAAATAAAGTGCAGAAAAACACCGGCACGGTAAACCTCAGCGGTATGTGAGGTAATGACACGATTATGCAGCTGGCAGGCACGGTGCACAAGCGAGGCCGTGCACGGTGCCATCATAATTACAACATCATCGATGTGATACGATACTGTCGGCCTAGCGGGGTCCGAGACGTAATATTCCCCTCGGGTGCCGTGCGCGATAGGCGCACGGCACGGTATCGAGTCGCCCCCTCAAGACTCCGCCACCGTAATCGGACCTCATCCATGTGTCATCAGAAAAGCGGCCGTTTCAAAAGAGCAGGCAGATTACCAGGTTTGGGTTTCCCCAAGACGTATTGGATTTAGGACAAACAAAATGAAAATTTGATGAACAATAAACCATTTTTGTGAATGATATCGAGTTCTTAAGAAAAAAGTCAGAAAATGGCCGGTGACATCCACATGGTCAGTCGCTCATCTAAAGCCAATTAACCTAGACACGGCTAATTCCAGTCCGATTTCATTATGTTTTTCAAAACAACCTGGACAAAGCGAGTCATGGGAAAACTGACACTTTATTAATACTTAATGACAGTGTAGAAGACAAGAGAGTTAACAGGGTCTTGGCTACGAGAGATTTTCAAAAAGTGAAGCACATTTTTTCGAAGTTTATTTTTATTGAATACCAGATCTGTTTCTAGAAACATTCATTTTCACGAGATACATTTTTCAGAGTCATTTTTCAGAGGTGGACAGTCAGCAAATGAGTCGGAGCCTCGAAGCCTACGTTTACTAGCATTAATATTGTGATTTGATGCGTTATCACCCAGTCATCACAACTAAGGCCTAAATTCAAGAAAAACCGTACCAACAATTCTTGTTGGAGCGTGAACAGGCTTAAAAATAAGGCGTGACCGTGTATCTCGTTTAAGCAAACTCTGGAAAAGTATACCTCAACAAAACAAACTTTGAAAAAAAACTACGTTACTTTTTGAAAATATATACCACATGGCACTGGTGGGCTAATGTATTCAGCTGATGGCGCCAAAGCATTGTATGACCGGGCGCACGTCCTTGCGCTTGCAAAATGTTGATTTAACGGGATGTTTAGAAATCGACGTTGAGGGCGCCAAAACAAGCTCCTGGGGAGGGGGTCATTGTCCATGTTCTCCAACATTCCTGATACCGATCGCTCGAGACTAGCTCCAAACCAAACGGTGTGATATGAGGACTGTCAATGAGATGAAGCGTAGCAGCTTGTTTTTACACGCAGGATAAGTCACTGAAAATTAAAAAGTGAAACAGAAGACAAACTGCCTTTCACAGTTTTCTTGTTGTAGGGAAAATGTAGGAATTTGTAAGTATTTCTCCGAGTCTGAAGAGTGCAGTCACTTTGCCGCTGGTTCAATTGGTCTGTCTTCTGTGAATGTGGTACTGGAGATCCATGCATTGGTAATCAGTGAAATCACACTTCACTATTTATGATATCAGTCTGTTACCTTGTAACACCCTCGGTTTTATCATCTATTGCTGAAAAGAGCCCGTCGCTAGCTCTCCAGAACAAGCAAGGGTCTGTACATGTATATCAGAAGCACACTACACTATTAACCACAACTATGACTTGACTGGCTAAATCTAATTGATAGTCTACTTTTTTGGCACAGTTTAAATCAATCTGGAATGAAATGAGATCCAAGAAAAAACAGCTCCACTTTATATAGCGGGAAACTGAGAAGGAGAACAGTACTAGTTAAAATCCTCTTTTAAAACCAAGATCAGTCAATGGCAATAATGTGGCAGTTAACAAAATGGGGGCTGGGGTAAGTAATTATGCTCGAGCCGGCTCCCTTTTCTGTGGCACTTCAAATTGTGTCATGTTTCTATTTTCTTCACTATTTTTGTAACAAGCGCGTGATAATGACAACCTTGTGACTACCCATAATGCGTAGACGCCGCCAGACGTCGTCTGCTACCAAAATGATGTCATAGTTGCACGCATACATGACATAGACGTGTTTCAGTCGTTGATTCTTTCAAACGAACAAAGCAGTTCATTTAACACGTCTATCCCCCACTCTTTATGCAGTAGCATGGCCAGGCTGTTCTTCAGGGTACAAGAAGGGGCTAGAGTTCCCACAAGGGGCAGATACCCCCCTTGTCTTTGTGTTTACGTGACAATACTTACATTTCACTGTAAACCCCATTTATTTCTACCTCCGTGACTTAACTTACTTAATGCAGCCACAATTCCTTGTCAAGGAAACCGACTGGAAATGAGAATTCGAAGTTTAAAGGTTACATCTGAGGTTTGACAGACAGCTACGGACTAACATTAAGCTCCAAATTTCTCCAAATTACACGATTATTGGATCGTGTACTTTCTGGGATAAACTGCTAGGAAATATTTCAATTGCCTCTCACTCAAGGTACAGTTTTTCCTGGTATTCCGTCGCTCATAATTCGACGCAAACGGATGGTCTGTCTTTAGTTTGCTCTTCCCTGTTCATCTTTAAAACAAACATGGCGGATTACTTGACACGATCGTGCAGTTTCGACTCGACATTTGAGCAGATTTTACCGCCAGAACAGTGGAAGATTTACCTCAGTGATGACTCGGACATCAAGAGGGGACCCAAACTGGATCGAGCCACGTTTGAAGGGTTTATGGACTCTGATGGACGGCTTGTTGAGGTCCAAAGTTTTCGACAAGCAGTGTTCCGAGGTAGGTCGTGTAATTACATGTGCATGTACAGTACATGTACCGGTATATCCCTGTGCCGCGGAAACCACCCCGTCAAGTACACATGAAAACATAAAAATAGGCCCAGGCCTAGCCTACATCATGCACAAATGATCGATGCAAAACAGCTGTGATGGGTGGTATATGCTAGCATGACGGGAAAAATGGACAGTAGAGGCGCAGATCAAAACTCAGGAATGTCCCTGAATCTGGAGAATTCCCTTCATGTGGGGACAGTACCACCGGTCCCCCAAAAGAGAGAATGTCCCCTTAAAAGAGAAAACTTTTTCCCAAGTGGCCTTGGGTAAAAAATTTCCACTCACTATTAGCATTTTTGTCTCCAACATTTTCCATTCAATTTTTTCTTCATTTAAGATGATTAGGCCTATATATTTAAGGCCTATTTTTTTTTATGAACTTTGTGCCATGCCACTCGTCAATTAAGTATAAGTAAAGGATCGATATTTGGAAAAATTGTTCTGAAACATTCTTTTTTCCCACCCTTTATGCTAAATTGCATACTCCTGCTCATAATCTTAGAAGTAAACGGAGTATGTTTATTTAATGGCAGCCTTGGGTGTTTTTTTTCTCTGCTGAATCTAATTATGGCAATAAAAATCCCCTGGGCAATGGAAGGATCCCCTAGCCCACTTGAAAAAAAATTGTCCCCATTTAGGGGGACATTCTCTGTTTTGGGGGACTGATTTTGTCTACAAATAAATGGACTTCTTCATATTCAGGGACAGTTCCTGAGTTGTGATCTGCGCCTCTACTGATGGACAAGGGAAAGGATTCCATATACACACGCCACTAGTTTTTCCACTCAGTGACCTATAGGACCTAGTATTATTAGCTATCTATAAAAAGCAATAGGCCTAAAATGTCCTAAAACTAAGTCAAATTTGGCAGTGAAGATCATGGTATTCACTTAGAAAACACGTAAAATTTATCAAACTAGTCTCATAGGGGCTCATAGGGTTTACGCACTGTGGACAAGGGACGGGTTGGACCGAACATGGGTTAATAACTTTAATAATGAAGTATGCTGAGCATGCCGAGACCTAATGGTGGCTATTATTAATCTCTTAATGTGGGCAACTTAATGAATATGATTAAGTTTGAAAAATGAATTGGCACTGAGAAATATTTTTAAATTTCATATTTGGTGAAATTCTTGCCAAAAGGGTTTATACTTGTTTACCATGGATGGCTTTGTTCATTCGTCACTACCTTGCCATACTTAGCATAGTTTATTGGTGCATGCATGCACAAAAAAGTAAAGACTATTAGGAAACTTAGGTTGTGATTTCTATTGGGATTTCAGAAAGAATCCCGTATTTGACATTAATAGTTGTTGTAGTTGTAGTTGTTGTGTAGCACATCACCAACAAGTTTTAAAACGGGCACCTGTTAATTTTAAGTGGATTTCAGCAAGGATCGGGGCTTTAGTACCTTAGAGATTAGGTTGCAAAAGTAAGATAAACTTGATGATGTTCATGACACTCAAGAAGTAAGGAGGTCGGTACCAGGCCACCACAGTTTTAATAACACCACCAAGTTTTTCAGCATTTTTTTGGCGGAGTAGAGCTGTCTTCACTGAAAATACAAGGCGAGTACGTGGCAGCTAAATCTATGCAGAACTCTTGCCCATTCAAAAATTGTGATGGTCTGATATATGGAATTCTTTCAGGGATGGATTATAAATGGGACGTGTAAGCTACTCAGTTCAAATAAGTTACCACATTTTTAAAAAGCTATCTCACCTGACGTGATTCTCATCTGACAATATGTGTACATCAATTCTTACCCTGATAGGAGGTATTGAGAGTGATGTCAGACGAGATGCCTGGGCATTCCTGTTCGGACTTTTCCCCTTCCAGTCGACCCGAAGGTGAGTACATGGACTTAATTAACAGGGTCTCATGTAACTCCACCCACTGCCTTTGTTTGACTGGATGACTTTATCATGCTAAAATTAAACAAAATCAAATGTGAGGCAGTTTCCATTTGATTCTCTTGATTTAATCAGTGAACCTAGAACATGTCATTTTACAGGTAGTCAGCTCCTCTGACGTGTATCAAAATTCAGCAGGCTGCACACTGTGGTATTCTTGGGTTCTTTTTACAATTCATTCATCAGCATTCCAACCATTTTGTCAGGAACTCTTATTCTTGTGTTACATGTGTACATCGCAATATGGGCGATTCATAATAATGCCCCTCCAAGAGTTTGCAGCGCGTTGGCCAATCACAATGCGCGATATTTGTCGACCCTTTCCAAATGCGCGTTGAGTCAACAGATTTTACGCATCGTGATTGGTCAATGCATTGCAAACTCTTGGAGGTTCACTTTGCACTGTGAATCGCTGGTGTTAAAGATATTCATTTAAACCGTGATGAGTGTTTAGAAATGTTACGAGCTACAACAATTCATTTGGGAGTATAAATCATAAACAATAACTCAAACATGTACCTAACTGATTATTGTTGGACAGCTCTGTATATGGAAACATTCAGTTTTCAGCTAATCAGTCCCATGATCTTTGCTTGCAGAGAACGAGAGGTCCTAGCAGTAGAGTACCATTACCGATACCAGGCCTTGAAAGCAAGGTGGAAAGCCTTACTGGCACTTACCACTCCTCCGCATGATACCACAGCTAACAGCACTGAGGAGATCCACTTGTCCAGGAAGAACAGCGAATCGTTGCACGGTGTCCACGAAAAGATTGAATGCAGATGTGGGAAAACAGGTCAGATCCAGTAAACAAGCCTTGCATAAATACAGGTTGATGTTCATGTAGCCGTCAGACCTAGGCTGTGTCTAAATAACTTGGCTGTGGCTTGAGATTACACACAACTGTATGGGTAGTGGCTACAGCCGCTATCATAGGCCTGTGTAGTTGTAAGTGGCAGCCAAGTAGTTTGGAGACAGCTGTAGAGGCCATTACGGCAGTGTCACAGTGCTCGCATGCAGGTCAAACATGAAGGCGCCTCTTTCACCACGGACTGTGCTTTAACCAAATGGTCCGTGCTTCAACCAACAGGGTGCTCTGACTTGCCAGCATGTGCATCATATAATGTAAGAGTGCCTGCATAACAAAGTGTCGCCACAAGAAAGAGGTTTCCTTGGATTAGTCTCAGGAGAGTTCAAAATGAACACTGCCTTCCCTCATGAAAGCCTAATAAATTTCTTAAAATTGAGACACTACTTAATAAGTTGTATTTCAAAACCAAGGAGAATTGGAGACAAAATCAAGAGTCATTTTTGCTCAGTTTTGAGTTCTGACAAGGTCTAGCAGTTACAGCAAATGTAGTGTTACCATAGATTAATATCCACAAGTGAGGCTGATTTATAAAAAAGAGACCATTTGTTGTCACGGTTTAAAAAAAAGAACTTTGGCGGGAAGTTTCACCCCACGTTACACGTACATGTATGCATTACTCAAACTTCCAAATCCCCACTTTGCTCTTGTGCCTGTTGGGTATACCTCACGAAAGCAAACCTGTCTTTGCCATTGTTAACCCTTCGCGCCGGGACGCAGCAAGAGCCGCCATAAAAAATTGAGATCCTCAGCCCGCTTTTCAGCTATTATTCTTGTCCCATGCTCGAGCGAACTCGGTGAAAGAAGGCAGACCCTGGCTCTTGGCCTTTGGCCTTTGTGTGTAGCCCAGAAATGAAAAGACCAAATTTGCATCATAATCACCAGCTTCACAATAGTCCCCACTTTGAAAAGAGGCAACGAGAATGTGGCAGCATGAGTAGAGCCGCATGCCACCGAACAATCAGCCTTTTCACCGTGTGATTCAAAGCTTGCAGAGCACGCAGGGCCACAAACCGAGAATTTGCGGTTTGGCAGGTGGCCTTCGTGGCCAAGTGAGGCTGGAATTCTTGGAGTCTGCTTTCGGAAAGAAATTCCCGTCGTCAAGGGGTTAATCCTCACTGAAATGTAAAGCATTGCTGATTTCAAGTTTGTTTGTCTTTCCCTGTTTAGAGCCATTAAACAGTAGCACTAAACGTAATGGACCACTCTCAGAAACCAGGAAAGATCGACAGATGCAGATGGAATGTATGGAACTTCAGGCAAGGGTAAAAGACATTTAAAACTGTTGCAAACATTTATGGGTTAATTGGCTATCCTATCCCAGCGGGAACAAGAGAGGGCGTGTTTTTATATACCGGTACATGGAGTGACCGCAGTCCTTCCGTGAGAACTTTCTGCAAATATAGGTTGGCAGGTCTGAATAGTAAGTCTGCTCGTAAAACGTTAAAATAGATGCATTTCATTAGTTGGACAGTTTAAGACTCAAGTTCAGACATGTATGAAGGTGAACTCAGACTTGGCTTGGCTCAGACTTGAAGCTGTTTGGAGTTGGCTTGGCTCAGACTCAGCTCGTGGCTGACTCTGAGTGTCTGTTGCACTCAAACTGAGTCCACAAAGCTTGTGTTACAGACGTGCATTAGCAAAAAATGGTTGAGTTGATTAATTGTACATGTATGTAATCTGCTGTAATAACGTTTCCTGACTGGACTTACACTTGGCTCAGACTCGACAATATGAATTCAGACCAGTGCTGGGCTTTGAAAAAAAGAGCTCGGACTTGGTTTCGTGGACTCAGTCTCAGATAAACTGGACTCAACCACATCCCTGCAGTTGAAAGTGCTCTTTAAGATGTACCAATTTATGACAGAGGGTCAGTGAATTTCCTGACTTGTAGTTTGCCTTGTATTCACAACTTAATCTTTTTTTCAGATTTATGCTGAGAGAGAGCCCTTAGACTTAGACAACTTGGAGGGATTTAAGAAAAGTATACGAATCATAGACAAGGATGTCCCAAGAACAGACAGAGATCACCCAAAGTTTAAGTGAGTACACAGCTTTTATTCTGTGTAATGAGTTGTAATTTCTGTGTCAAGACTGAAGGGTGCGGAAAAAGATACTGAGGTTGTTCAGAAAGGTGAAGTTAGTTTTGATTATGTTGGATCGCAAAGATCAGTTTGTGGATTTAAAGTTAATGGAAATAGTTGAGTTTTTGAGACAGGTTGCGCTGGTGGCTTTTCTTGGGCCAGGTTTTTGTTTCATACATTTTACGAAAAGCAGAGCGTAAATCTGTCCCGGATATATACACCAACAGTTTCAAGATTGTTTTTGTTTCCTGTAGATGTTCTTGGTAGTATTTTTGCAGATTTCCTGAAGCAATTTATTTTGTTTTTGTGTGCCAACAGAGGCCCTAACAATCCGAATCTGGAGAGACTACGAGACATTCTAATTACCTTTGCCGTCTTTCATCCTCGTGAGTAGGGAATGTTGAGCACTGAGATGAATATTTTTTATGTAGTGGCATGCCGGGGGGGGCACTGTATCCCGTCAGACATATTGCCAATTGATTATTATTGTTTTATTATTGTATTCAGGAATTGAAAGCAGCAATACTTTAAGAAATGGCACAACCACCTACTTGTATCAGGGGAGTTGAGGATTCTTTTATGAAGAAAGATAAAGGACGACCAATATTTTTTAGGAAAACACCGCATCCCCTCCAACTCAAAACCTTGAATACATCAATTAAGTGAAAGTGCCAACACCTTACAAATGACATCAACACCGTTATTTCAGAGGTGACAATTCTTTGTGGACAAAAGAATTGGATTCTCGTATTTGAGAGAAAAATCCCAGTTTTGACCACCCTCCAACTCAAAACCTTGATATGCAACTATTCTTTGGCAAGCAGTAAGTCATTAGTTTGTTTGAAGAAAAGAGATGTGTTGGAATATGCATGTCCTCAGGATTGACAAGATAATTTTATTTGTCAGCATTTTGTTAGTTTTCATTATCGAAATAGATTTGATTGATTTTTCATTTTCTAAGGAACTAAGAACTGATTTTTTTCATTGTGGCTCTTCTACCCTGTTCCAGAGGTGACATATGCCCAGGGAATGAACGATGTCCTCAGTAGGTTCTTCGTTGTCATGGATGATGAGGTAGAATCTTACTGGTGCTTTACATTGTATCTAGAAACCATCTACAAGGACTTCTTAGAAGATGGCATGCTTCATAAATTAGGCAAGTATAAATCATAAAATTTGCAAGTTTGATTGGGCACTTGTAACTGTAGAAATTACATGTATGTAGAGAAGTTTGTGAGATTTTTCAGAAACTTTTCCCAGATGAAAGAAACTTAAGAGTGCATTTCAGTATCTTTGATGGGAAAATGTAAGGTGTGCTGTCAAAAAGTGAAATGATAAGCTCACAGTACAAATTGGCAATTGAAAGAAAGGTCAAATCTAAAGCGTTAGTGTAGATGTTTTTCCAGGTTTTTTGCAAGAGCCATAAAACCAAATGTGTTTTTTCCATATCTAATCTTGTTTCTTCTAAACCGAATATGGTAGAAATTTCATCCAGTACTGTTTCCATTTCGAAGGGATGTTTCCATTTGACTTCTTCAGCTGACGTTTTCATAAACATTTCTAGGTTTCTTTTTATGTTTGACAGAAATATTAAAACACCTGCTGCAGGAGATTGATCCATTGTTGAATGAACACCTTGAGGTGTGCGAAATTGGTGACCTGATGTTCTGCCACAGGTGCGCATAGTTTGGTGTTTTCTTTAACCCTAACCCCTTAGGGTGCATGTAAAATCAGATTGAAATTGGAGGATTTTGGACGGTCCTTGTAAAGATTTAAAAGATTCCTTTTACTTGCATGAAAAAATGTTTCTTTGTGTTTTTACAAAGAATTTGTGATGTTCTGCGGGTTTAAATTTTGTACATTATTTTGTACGAAACACAGTGGTACCCTTTTGAATGTACTTGCATGGAATCACAAGCCACTCATGCATGGAAGGTTGGCAATGAAGTAACAGTTACAATTGCAAGGCATTTGGACAACTTACTCAGAAAACCATGATATTAATGGAATATGTAACTTCATTTCAAAATAATTACAATTTGCTTAATAATATGATAGCAAGGATTAAGGCAAGGCAAAGCAAAGAGCACTTACAACTCTAGATGTAAGTAGAAATATGACAAGTGTGAACTTGCTGTTTTATTAATGAGGTCGCAAAATCTTCAAGGTTCTCCTCAAACAGAGCAATATTGCTTATAAAAAATTAGTAACATCCGAACATTAGTGAGGTGCACAGTATCTAACAGCATCTGTTATTCAAAGGTGCAGGTATAATGTATTACTATTCCTGTTCATTCGGCTACCAACATCTGAACATTCCTGAGACCACATCAGTTCCCTGGGAGTATTCCTGAGATCATATCAGTTCCCTGGGAGTCTTCCTGAGATCATCTCAGTTCCCGGGGAGTTCCCTGGGAGTATTCCTGAGACCATCTCAGTTCCCCAGGAATATGCCTGAGACCATTTCAGATCCCTGGGAGTATTCCTGGGACCATATCAGTTCCCTGGGCATATTCCTGAGACCATCTCAATTTCCTGGGAATATTTCTGAGATCATTTCAGATCCCTCGGTGTTTTCCTGAGACCATATCAGTACCCTGGGAGTATTCCTGATACCGTATTAGATCCCTGGGAGTATTCCTGAGACCATCTCAGTTCCCCAGGAATATGTCTGAGACCATTTTAGATCCCTGGGAGTATTCCTGGGACTATATCAGTTCCCTGGGCATATTCCTGAGACCATCTCAATTTCCTGGGAATATTTCTGAGATCATTTCAGATCCCTCGGTGTTTTCCTGAGACCATATCAGTACCCTGGGAGTATTCCTGATACCGTATTAGATCCCTGGGAGTATTCCTCAGACCATCACAGTTCCCCAGTTATATTTCTGAGACCATTTCAGATTCCTGGGAGTATTCCTGAGACCATTTCAGATCCCTGGGAGTATTCCTGAGACCATTTCAGATCCCTGGGAGTATTCCTGAGACCATTTCAGATCCCTGGGAGTATTCCTGAGACCATTTCAGATCCCTGGGAGTATTCCTGAGACCATTTCAGATCCCTGGGAGTATTCCTGAGACCATTTCAGATCCCTGGAAGTATTCCTGAGACCATATCTGGTCCTTCAGAGACTACAGCTCAATAATATCTGGTCCTTCAGACACTACAGCTCAATAATGCCATTTTAAACGCAGAAAACTAAACACAGTAATCATGTCTGCCCTCACAGTTATGAATTTCTTCTGGTTAAAGTGAGGCAACGAGGGGTAAAGTGACTTGCCCATGTATCAACCATAAACGTAGTACATGCATAAAGTTACTCCTATTTGTGAGAACAGATTAAAGAAAAGTTGTCTTTATGTCCGTCCAACAGGTGGCTTCTGCTATGTTTCAAGCGTGAGTTCCAATATGAGGAGAGTCTGATGCTGTTTGAGATCATCAGCAGCCAACATCTAGAGCTGTCGTCGGTGACTGCAGAGAGAGCCAGAGATATTGCCAGAGCTCGTGACTTCTTGAAAGCAGGTAGTGCAATCAGTCAGGGCTGTTCAGTGCTTAGGAGCACTGCTGTGCTGCGGCATTTGATTTGCGCAAGAACCTTTGAGGACGCTGTTTCAGAGTTTTACAAGACCATCACCAAATTGCAAGTCCAGTCTCAAGTCACGGGGAAAGTGAGCATGACAGAGTTAAACCTTTGGCACAGTTCATGTGAATAGTTTGTGATTTGACTTTGGATTGGTTGACTTGTGATTGATTTCTAGTGGACGTGTGAGGATTTGGAAAAACTGCATCATTCGGTTGTGAGAGTTATGCTTTGGAAATACAATGATGTACATGAGGTACATTAATGTGTGCCATTTGCTAATTGGTTTGCTCCATAAAGGAACATGAACGTGCAACAGAATCTTACGAAATAAGTTTATATTTTTACAAGGCATTAGGCCATACATAGTGACATATGAGCCATCAGTGGTTGAATTTTAATTATAGTAATGAACCACTTTTGTATAGCGCATATCACAATTTCATAAAAGTTGCTATGTGCTAGAAGAGCAAAAGGTCAGTGAGGAATACACAAAAGAGAAAGTACTATTGTAGGTGTTATGGGGATGAAACAGGAGGGAAATATGTTCCAAGCATCACTCACGAAACAAGTAAGGTTTCAGACTGGACTTCCAAAACGAACTGAATTTTAGGATCAAATTCTCACTTTAACCATCAAAGAGGTGTTCTTGCCAGCCTTGACCCTTGAGATGTTCATACATTGTGAAAGCAAAGTGAGGTGAAACTTGTTCATGACAAGGTCATGTTCCTATTCACCATCGTGCCAAATACGAACTGGCCTTCAAGGGTCCAATTCCTGATTTTTTGGCCCCTACCCTGATATTTCATGTCTAATTTTCAGGTGGAAGGCAGAGGGTTCACGCCGAGGTCGTGCGGACAGATTTCACCTTTGAACTCTTCGTGTGCACCACCATCTTGTACGACAACAGGCAGTCCTTGTTGGAGTGCATTGACTCAGCCACTGTGTTCCAATATGTGGTGAATGGGTGAGTAGATTGAGGAACTCGATGTGGTGAATGGATGAGTGTACGGAGGAACTCAATGTGGTGAATGGGTGAGTGTACGGAGGAACTTGATGTGGTGAATGGGTGAGTAGACAGAGAAACTTGATGTGGTGAATGGGTGAGGAGACGGAGGAACTCGATCAGAAATTATGGTCTATTACTCAGGTACAGAATGGACACTAAAGCTTTCAAGTAAGTATGCAGTAAGCAGTCAAGTTAGTGGACAAACACACATGCTCAATCCGTCTGTGCTCTGTCCCATTTGACTTCATTATATGCGCATGCTCTATGCTAATAAGCTAACTTTGCACTGCCATGGTTTAACCCTAAGGCCCACCAGGTTCTCTTTAACCACTCTGTTAAAAGCCACAGAATGCAAGCCAGCTGAAATGAGCATCAAGCCAGGTGCAACAGAATAGAGCACTGCCAAAATGAGAACCATGCCAAATGCAACAGAATGGAACACAGTTGAAACTAGAACCATACTGAATGCAACAGAATGCAACACAGCTGAAACGAGAACCATGCTGAATGCAACAGAATGGAACACGGCTGAAACTAGAACCATGTTGAGTGCAACAGAATGCGGCAAGGTTGAAATGAGAACCCTGCTGAATGCAACATAATGTATTAAAATGCACTACTGGATTTTGTAGCACTTTGCAGTGCCTTGGACAAACACCAGTTTTGACCCTATCACGTTGCACAGTGAACTCATTCACCCATTCCTTTAGGTTGAGAGCCTGTCATGTTGATGGCTTATATACAGATGATCAAGATATCAAGTATCTCAGCCGGTTTCCCATGAAATGACTATCTTATTGGAAAAAGGTGTGAGGGTTGATGTTAAATTTTACGGCCTGGTGACAATAACGGACCTTACCTTTGGCTCGCTCCATTATCGGCCCGAAGCCCCTATTGGGTCCAAATGTACATGTACTCGATTAACAAAAAACCCACTGCACCAGATTTTATTCCTTGACCATTTCCTATCACCTGTTTGCTCTGTCCAGGTTATCGTATAACTTAGACCTCCAGCACATACTGTGCCTCGCCGAGAAAATGTTCCTTGCCTACTGCAGAAAAACGGCGGTCCGGGATAGCTTTGAACTTGTAGACCATGACGACGGCTGACAACAGGAACTTAACTGATGCGTTCCTTAAGTAGGTTACCCTTTTTTTAACCCACTAGTTTTGCAGGATTACAGGACGGACTGCATGTGGCCCGTCTTGCTCCTAATCTCAGGTTCTTTGAGCTGTTATTATTTCATAACTAGGCACCACATGCTTGAGTAACTTAACATGGCCGTCCACTTGTTACCCGCTGCAGTATAATATTGATTTTGCTATACAAGTAAACTGCCCGTTATAAAAATGTTTATTTTAGGTACCTGAGTTGACGTCACAATGAAGCCATAATGCCTTACTTGAGTTTAAATTGAAATACTTTAAATCATTCCATTTTAGGGCATTCCTTTTGTGCTAGGAACTCTCCATGACCCATCCCGAATCGTTTTTTAAAAGCACTTGAAAATCTTGCCGCCCTCTGATAAATAATTGATTTTAAAGTGTAAATGACCTCAGTGAATTAGAAGACATTTTTTTCTCTGAAGTTGGAATATTTACACGATGCATATTAAGATATCTTTGGGTGAAGAAATGGTGTGCCGTTTTGCAAGGGTGCAATGTAATTGATTGGGGTCGAGTCGTGGTTTTTATGACTGCCATTGTTGTTGAGCAATCAAAGAATTGGTTTGAGTACAGGTTAAGGAAGAAAGCCAGTCTCAAGGTTTCAGCTACCATTCATACTGCCATTGAGTGCAAAAGAAAAGCAGGAAAAAACAAGAGAAACCTTTTGAAAACAAGGAAGATATATATGGGGGGGTGTGGTCCGCATACTAGCTGTTCCCCCCCTTGGGGTCTGCTACTGGTTATGCATTAGTTCATGCATATTTATAAGGTGCGTGATACAGGTGTGTAACAGTACTAAGGGGGCTAGTGTTTTTTAAGAAATTAGGGAACACCAAGCAATTCCACACAACTCAAGTTCTTATTAAGCTGATGGTTCTAGAAAAAACAAGGTACTTGCTAGCAGACCGATGAATGTGAGGAGCAGGCATATCTCCATTGTCAGATAAGTGGCCCTATTCTATGAAGTGTTGATGAATCCACTTGAAGTTGACAGTATTCCGCCGCTGAGGTGTGATATGCGTTCATGTGCCTTGCGTTTTCTGTTGTGCCATGACAACTCTGTCACAAATTGCTGTTATAAAACTCTTTCTGAAATAGAATTGTAGTTTGGGCCATTTTGTACAGCACAGTCTGTGTCAGTTTCATACACCCGGACTTGTACAAAATGTATATACGAGAAAGTCTATTACATCTATATGCACTTGCCTACTTAAATCTCATGTACATCTTAATACAGTACAAAACACATGTCCATTCCCCAAGCAAAAGAGCGCCGTGGATTGTAGTGATGTGGAATTGTTTGTGTATACTGCATGTACGTGGGGCACGGCATTATCTGAGTTTGAATAGTTCAGCGCATGTATATTGCTGATCGGGATTGTTTGCCTTGCATCTGACTGCACGCTGTCATTGTCCATCTGCGTATCTGCATCGTGGATGGAACTGATGAAAGCAAATTCTGCCAGCACATTTCAAATTTATTCTGTAATTCTTCTGTAATAAAACTGCTATGAAATATTCTCTTGTGCAGTCAGGTACATGTGCACTTGTGGTGGTCAGATAAAGGGGAGTGAAATGTGCATCAAAAGTGAAGGTGGGGGAATCTGTCAGTCATTCATAGCCGTTTGTAAGCACAAAGGTATAATATTTCTGGACCAAGTATCACTGTTCGCTTTAAAATACATGCAGCTGCCAAAATGCACAGGTATAGGCACTGGTTAATTTAGACCTCATTTCCAGAGTAAATGAAGTTAATGAACCCCCCCTTGTATGTATGTGGTACATGTATATCCCATTGCATGAACTGAGCAACTCCCACATTGCACCATTCCTATAGTAATACCAAATATATTGTCATCTGTCGTAAGAATTACCATGAAAGAAAACTGCTTTTAATGTCTTTAGTACTAGGCCAACAAGAGATTATTATCAGACATAAATTGCGTGAACGATGTTGGGTGAGTGTATTGTATATTGCAGTCCCTGGGATCTTGGATCATATCGTCTAAGGCTGCAACACTTTTAGTTAAAAATTCCTGCTGGACAGGATTCAGCGGATGCCTATTCATTGGCTAGAGTGACATGTGTCCACCATACCTTAACAATGATAGGCACATAGAAGTGCATCCTACTGAACATGGGAAAACTAATGGAAGTGTATCCTACTAAACGTGGGAAAATCAGTGG